GTCGTTGTCTCCCTGATCACTCGCTCAACGACAACTCAACGCCCGTCATCACGGCGTGGGCCTCTTCGTGGTAGTGATGGAGATGCCGAAACTTGACGGCGGCGTGGAGGAGTGAGCGAGCTTGCTCGTGATGGACCCCACGATGTGCTTATTTTCGCCCTTTGCATTTTCTTCTACTCGAACCTGAGACCTGTGTGTTGTTAGGTCGACACTCTAACCACTTGAGCTATTCAACTTGATTGTTGATAGGTTGGCTCTTCTATGATGGTATACTACCGATCGCTTCAATGAGGCTCTGATACCACTTGTTGACTCTGGCAATTCGGAAGACAGTGTCGACGAAAAATTGGCCGAAGGTTTCTTCGAAGGAAAAATTAGCGGAAGTAAAAGGAGAGAGAGTGAGAGATTCACTGATAATGCTGAAGACTCGACGTTTTTATTTTACTTCAATTGAACGGTTTAAATAACAAATCTAATTACAAAAATAGAAAAACCAATTATACAAAAATAGAAGAAGTGGACGAAGACTTCGCCCAAATTGCCAAAACAATGGCTCCTAGAATCACGCTTCTCCATTCGCGTGAATTAAGATGTAACTAAATAAGGCATGGCTTTTATTTAACAAATTTCACTCTTTCACATAGGCTGGATGAGAAGGAAGAAGGTAAAGCATATTCAATCCTTGTTTTACTTTGACGTAGCATAAAGAAAAAAAGTGTATCCTTCCCTTATTTTTTGAGCTATTTATGGCTAGAGGTAATTGAGAAGTAAAGAGTCCTTATTCGTCAGAGTTTCCGTAACTGGTTTGCTTGCTTGCTGGGCTGGCTTTCTTGCTCTTTCACTCAAACACTCCTTTTATTCATTCTCGTTCACTCCTGACCCTATTCATTCTTGATCTGATCCATCACCTGATTGAACTGTAAACAAAGAGAACTACTCCTTTCCGTATTCATTCTCGTTTAACAGGAGTATTACTGATTAACCTGAACCTCTACAACTAACTCGTTAAAGCATTTCCATTTCATTCACCTGTCGGTTGAACAATTCCATTTCATGCCCTTCTCCAACAACTATCAGCTTCTCGTCTCGCTGCTTCGTCCCTCTACAACACAACTCGTTCTCGTGTCTTCGCCTCTTCGCCCCTTTTCCTCTCCTGCCTGTAACTGTACTAAAGATTCATTCTCTTCTGCCCGCCTTCTTTGCTTTGACTCCTCTCCCTTCTTTCACTCTGGAACAAGCAAGGGAAAGGAAATAGGCTGGATTGGATGATCAGCTCCGGAACCGGAACCTATGCTCTTTCCGGTTTCTTTTCTTCACCTATTGTATTGAAGAAGGAAGGCTGCGCTCCTTACCCTGAACCCGCTGGAACTTCTCGTCTCGCTGCTTCGCTATTCTCCTTCACCTACTTACTCATTAACCTCTGATCGTCTCAGAATGAAATAGGCAGAAACTGATTGAAGTGATTCAGCTATTGGTCTCTTTGTTCTCTTTTCTTTACTCTCGTTAAATGGGATAGTAGTTGTCTTTCTCCTTCACTCAATCACTCGTCCCTTCAACGACTCGGTAAATAGATAGTATTCTCCTCTTCACTCTTTTACTTGAAGGTCAAGCTGCTAATTAATTCTTGACTCTACGGCTGAAGGGTTGAACTACTTCTTTCTGTGTTCTTTCCTTTGGTCTTTGATATTCTGCTTGCTTTTAAGACTGAACTCCTTGCCTTGTGACTGAGAGTGCACTGCTGATCTTTCTCCTCTGACTACTGAACTTACTGATTTAGCTTTTCCGATCGATATTGCCCGTATGGTTCTGTAACCAAAGAGACTGTCGATTCCTGAACCTGATTGAATGAGGTAAAGAACAGGATAGGAGGATGATTCTTTCATTCACTTACTTGACTGTAAACAAATGAAAGGATGGAAGAGACTGGGCTGAACCTTATACTCTTTTTTCTTTGCACTCTCGCTAATAAATAGGTTAAAGCTTGCATCTTCTCTTACTTGTAGGTCTCAGAATTCCATTGCCTTTTCCTGAAGAAGAAAGATGAATCAGACTCGGTAGGTAAACGAGATGATTCTCCTTCGCTGTCTGTAAACAAACTAAGACTCAACCCCTTAACTAACCCTGAACCTGTGTATCGCCCCGATATTATTCCCCGAGCTTATTTCGTAAAGCTAGAAGAAGAATCAACCTTTCTTTACAGTAGAGGAAAGACTAAAGATTCATGATAGTTTACGGTCTTTGAATAAATAAAGGAGTTAGCAGCTGCTTTAGCTTTTCAAGATTCAACGTAAAGAAGACGAGAATGAGCCGGAACAGGAAAGAAAGAAGAAGAATCGGATATTCATTCCTTTACTGGGTGGGGAGGAAATTCATTTAATCTAGAACCTTATACTCTATGTGACTTGACCTTCTTGAACAAGTAAAGACTGCAAGACAAGATTCGTGAGACTGAACGCAAGATAGATTCATTCTCCTTACCTACCTTCACTCCTATTTCTTAAAGAATGAGATAAAGCTCTGTCAGTGAGTTTGCTTACTCTGGTTGAACTATTTCTTCTCTTTCTATGCCGTAACCAGAACCTTGGCTTCTTTCGATGTGAGATCCTTCACTCCTATACACCTCTTTCTTTATTCTTGATTCGGTAAAGCAAGCATTAAGAAAGACGAAACTCAACAAGATGCATTCTCCTTAACTACGCCTATACCTATTGATTGATTCTTTCTCCTTCCCCTTCACCCATTATTTATATTGGTCTCACACACAATTCCATTCCCTGAACTAATACTCCCTTCCCGGATTTCCCTCTTGTTGACTAAGGTAAGTAAATTAGCTGTATGATATGATAAGGAAGAAGGTCAAGATTCCTTCCCCGATTGACTATCTGAGTTGTAAGTCTTTGAATAAAGGGAAAGCCGAAACTAACTACTTCTTCTCTCTCCTCCTTCTCAAATGAAAGATTCATTCTCTTTTTCCTCTACGACTTGGTAAACTCCTGACCGATGAACCTATTCATTCTGTCTTCCTAGTAAACGAAGAAGAAACCGAACTCTTGAACCTCTCCTCTTATTACCATCTCTTATTCTTAAGGGGTGAGTTATTCAACCACTGTAAGCAAGGTAAAGCCTGTAGAACGGAGAACTCAATCACTTCTTGTCCCTACCCTATTATTCTTTTATTCCTTCAAAGACAAGGTCAAGCATAAATATTCAATGAATTTACTCGACTGTAAACAAGGGAAAGCCTCTACTCCTTATTATAGAGAACAAGTAAGACTATTTATTACTGATTAACCTGCTGATTGGAACAACTCCTTAGAACTCCTTATACTCTATATATTTTCCCTGCCTGAGCTACTTCTGAACCTGAACCTGATTGACCTCGGCCGCTGCAGCTAATGAATTGACTCTCTTGTACGGACTCTTCTTATGAATGGAGACTAATGTTCACTCTTTTTCCTCCTTTAATTGCCTTGCCTGATTGAAGTGTAAACTCGGACTGGGTAAACTCTTTCACTCTTCTCCCGTAACCCCTTTCTTTATTGAGGAAGAGCTCTTTACTCGGATTCCTTCTTTCACTCTTTTACTATCCTGTAAGAAAGGTCAAGCTCTGAAGCCTCTCCCTGATGTAACTCAAAGACTCTCCTGCCTGTAAAGCCTAAAGCATTCTGGGATTCCTTCTTGAACTATAAGAAAATTTGTTCTCCTTTGACTGATTGACCGAGGGAAAGGCTATTCTTTCTCTTCTCGATCCCCTTAACCTATTTATATTCCCACTGTACTGTAAAAGATCAATACTCTTCCTTATTAATTCGACTGAACTACTTTTACGGCTGGAACTCTGAGACTCTCCCTCCCTGAACTGTAATGTAAAGCCTCAAGATGAATTAGACTCGACACCCTTTTTCCTTCTTTAACTCTTTTACTCTCTTTCTCTGATCTGACTCCTGAACCTTTGACTCTATCTACTATTACCTTCCCTTAGTTAACGTGCGGTAACCCCAATAACTCATTTGTTGTCCCTACCCTATTCTATTTAAAATGTTATGCTTAAACTTCTCTTTCTTTTTCCTCTGACTACTTACTCAACCGTCGGAACCCTCTTTCTTCGCCTCTCCAACAACTAAAGACTATCGAAGCAAGAATGAGACTAATGTAACTTCAAAGACAAGGTAAGGTAGTAAAGAAGTAGCTGCTCTTTGTTTGATTGACCAAACTGTAATGGTCAAGTCTAAAGAGAGATTATCCGGAACTGTAAGGGGAAAGACTGAACTCAAGACTGAAGGAAGAGAGTTGTAGAACTGAACCTGATCTGCTATTCCCTGACCTTTATTTACAGGCAGTGTAGGAAATGAATGAATTACTGAACCTCTCTTAGTCGAGTTGAACTATTCTTTAACTGTAGAAGAAGAAGAATGAGACAGAACTACAGAACTCACCTTCTTTCTTCACTCACTCGGTAAAGTTAAATGAATGTTCAATGCTTCACCGGACCCTTTATGGAATTCAATCAGGTAAACGAAAGATGAATGAGACTACTACTACTACTACTTTAACAACATGAGACTACTACTTTACAATTCTATTCTAAATCATAAGCCTAAAGAGAAAGGGGGCAAGAAATGAAAGAAGGATTAGCTCATTTACCTAGTTTATTCTTTAACTGTTAAAGTGGCTTCGTTCGCTCCTAACCCTGACCTGAGAAATACTAAAGATGGAATGAGAGTGAGCTCAAACACATATTCTCGTCGTCTTCTTCCTGAACTGAGATTATTACCTGACCTGTGGATTCTTTCAGAGTAAACTCGGTAAACTCCGGTCCCAGATGTAGCTGTAAGAAAAGATTAATTCCCCTTCACCTCGTAAACTCAGTTTCACTGCTTCGCTCCTTCACCTCTCCAACTCGGTTGAACAATTCCATTGCCTGAACCTTATGAATCAACTGTCGAAAGTCAATCCTCTCTCTTCATGATCGTGAACTACTGAACCTCGTAAACAAGGACTATTCTTTCTTCGTCTTCTCTCCTTCACCTATTTATTCTTGAACAGTAAACACTCATTCATTCGGCTCAACCCAACCTCAAACATTTGATTGATTGAGCGAGGGAAAGACTATTCTTGAACTTGGTAAAGCTCCTTCGGCTCTAAACAGTTTGGTTCTTGATCCTGAACCTACCCCGATATAACCTGAACTTGCCAGGAGAGTCCATTCATTCAATTTAGTAACCGAAGAGAAAGAAAGATTTGCTCATGAGCCGATATTCCCTTGCCTTGGAGAACTAGGTAAAGCTGCTTCGCTCCTACACCGGAACCAATATGACCTTCTTCCCTTATTTGAGGTAAAGCTAGAATAGAAAGAAGAAGAACCTTTCTTTAGCAAGAGAAGATAAAACTGAACGAACTGAACTCCGTAACCTGTCTGTCCCTTCTTTCAAAGAAGAATCAAGATTTCATTCACCTATCGGTTTCACAATTTCATTTCCTGCCCCGCTATTCCCTTCTTGTCACTCAGTAATATAGCTAGTAGTCTTTCTTTCTCCTTTACTCCTGACGTAAACTATCAGTCTGCTGCGCTCCTCGTTATTCTTTCACACTCTATCTGTAAACGAAATAACTACTTCCCTCTTTCTTTATTCAAAGACAAGGTAAACTCATTAGCTACTTCCCTCTTCCCTTCTTGTGAACTCAAAGACAAGGTAAACTCAATCAATCACTACTTCCCTCTTCCCTGATTTCACTCTTGAACTCGTTAAAGCAATTCTATTGCCTTCACCTTTCTTTATTATTAATATTAACCTTCTCTATTCATCAAGTCAAGAAGAATGAGAGAGACTTATTTCCCCTCGTCGTAAACTATCTGCTGCTCTCCTGCACCTATTTACTGATCTTGCTGTATCCTTTCTTTAATTCTTTTACTCTTTTCTGTCTGTAATAAAAGAAGAAGAAACCTGAGCAGTAAGGAAAGACTGAACTGAAACTCTTCGCTACTGAGCCTGAACCGAAACCCTTCCTCTTTTCTGCTATTCCCTTTTCCCTTAGTGAACTCGGTAAACTCATTCAACCTATTTATTAACTCTTTTACTGATCTTTGTCCTTTCTTTAACTCTTCTACCTGTAAAGCCGAAACGAAAGATGAATTCACTCTTTTACTTCTCTTTCTCCTCTTTCATCAAAGACTCTTTGTGGTAAATGGGACTGGATGATTAGCTCCTCTCCCTTCAACCTTTTCTTTCCTTTCCCTTCCCCTATTTCTATAGGTAAGCTAATGAATTGACTCCCCTTGCTTGAGAGAAGAACTGTCAAAGATATCAATACTCTGGATTCATCATTCTCCTTTTCCTGATGTAAGGAACTCGGTAAAGCGCTTGCTACTATTTGTTGAAGAAGAACCTGCACCGTAAGCAGATGTAACTCCTTTACCTTTTCTGTTAACCTTCAGTTCTTGTTCGAGGCTGAACTTATCTTCTTACCCCTTTCCCAAGGTACTAAATATATATAGTAGGTTGGTTAAAGCATCTTATCTTTTGTCCTGTCCTTTACTTAAGGTCTCGAATCTTTTCTTTCTCTTTTCCTCTCTCTCCCTATTTCTGAACTGTAAAAGAGAAATAGTCCTTGCTTATTCTTTCTCCTTTACCTCGGCTGAGCTTACCTCCTGAACCTGAACCTAGTAATCAACTCTGAGTTTACCTTTCTATTCTAAATAAATCATAAAGGGAAAGCCGAAAGCAAGCAAGACAAGATTCATTCGACTTTACAGTAGAGTAAAAGCCAAAGAGAAAGGGGAAAGAAAGAGAAGCTCAATCACCGCTATTCCCTATTAAAGAGAAAGAGGTCATTGAACTAGGTAACTGGGCTTCTCTCCTTCAATCCTTCTTTCATTGTAAACTAACTAAGACTCAACTCCTTATTCATTCTTTCTTTCTCTTCTTTAACTCCTTTAAAAGCTGGTTGGTTACCTTCTGTCTTAGCCTTTTTAGCTTTAGCTTTGTTTTATTCCCTGAAGTTATATGGTGAGTTATTCGAAGAAAGATTTGTCCTCTCCCTATTTATTCTTGAACTTCTCTTTCTCCCTTGAACTGAGGTTTCACTATTCAAAGACTCGGTACTGCTGAGGATTGAATGGACTCTCTTCCTTCTCTTGTCCCCGAAACAACCTGATTTAATAACTGATCTTGCGAAAGGCTTTGGTCAATAAAGAATGGTTTGAGTCACAATACGCGGATCCATTTCGTCCAAAAACAAAAGAGGTTCGGGTAGCCCGCGTTGATTTGAAAAGTCGGAAAATCATCAAGAATCAACTTACGCTTGGCCTGGCGCTGTGGAGGATACTTGTTGATAAGAAAGGGGTGAAAGGGTGTATCCGTAATATCCCAATGCATGGCTTAACCAATTCATCTTGTTTTCAAAGGTCAATTGGACAAATAATAAGAAATTCTACTGAGAAAAGAGAATGAAAAAACTACAATGAGAAATTATGTCCACAAAGAGAGAAAGACAAGAGAGAGATTAAATCACTGGTTGATCCTATGAAAAATACTGAGAAATCCTCTACAGATAATGAAAGTAGTCATACAGAAGAAAGAGGAAATTCGATAAAAAATAAGAAGGAAGAGAGGTGACAAAGCCTACATTAGACGCGAACCCTCAGACTGACAAGCAGATACCTAATACAGAGTAGGAGAAAGATACTTTAAAGAGATGGCCAATCTTTGTTTCCCTAATTTATATTCAGATGACAATCCTCCAGATTCGTCAAGACTATAGTGAGAAGATCAAGGCTAGAAAGTAGCTCAAAGAAATGCTATATCCAAATATCCACTGCTTAAGGAAGGGGAATGACAAGAGTATGAAGCAGCTTTCCCAACCCAATCCCTATAGTAGACAGACATGTAAGGATCAGTGATTGACAGAGCTCTTATTATTCGAGGTCAGAATTGTGAGCTATTTAAGGCCTTTGAAAGCAGTCCAATCGCTTCAATCACACCTATCTATGTCAATAGGGCTGAGTGAGATCTTTTACCTCTCCTGCATCTGGGACTCTATTTACTGCGCTTGGAAAATTTTAGCCAATTGCTGCCACTTCTGAAGCTAGGTCAGTTAGGGCTATGACCCTTCGAGCAGGGCAGTTCATGAGCTGCTATCTCCGACCGAGGTTAAGTCTGATTTTGCTCTGCTGCTGTTATGTTATTCTTCCTCTAACCTGTACACAAGGCTTCTCAAAAACTGGTGCGAGGAGCCATAAAACCAATGCAGCCTTGGGAAGCAAACCAAAGCCCTTACTCACCTTGACTGACGATCTCATGCTAATCACGGAAGCCGCATTCCGCTCAAGGCCTCTTCGATCCATTTGACGCCTGAACCTTCTGTTCTCAGTGAGAAAAGCTAATTTGTGATATCAGGAAAAAACATCCTAGGCAGGCGAATTTCCAGCATACTGGGTCTCGAAGAAGGTGTCCAAACATATTTGTTGATCCTTGTCCCCAAAGACCTAAAAAGAAAGAGGAAGGTGCAAAGCGAAAGTTCAAACTCTGAAAATCATCCCCCCTTCGCCCAAAGCTCTGACAAAGGCAAGAAGCCTATGGCGTCAGCAGCTGTTGAAAAGGCCCCACCGTCTCATCTCTATAGACTGAGGAGGCTCATCGTCAAATAGCCCGCCATTCATCCTTTACAAAAGGTGCCTGGAAGAAGTCAACAATCTCGACATCCATGAAAGTGCAACAGTAAGATACCAATGTAGGTATTTGATTTGACTAAGCCAATTTTGGAGGAGAGTGAATCCCAAGAACTGCTCAACCTTCTTCAAATAATAAGGGGGAGTTAGTTCTCTTATAGGCTTATAGAAAGAAAAATAGAGGTTAGTCACGAAAGAAAGAATCCAATCCCTAGTATATGGTGAGAGGGCTATTTAACCTGCACCACCAATACAAGCTAAGGTGAAAAAACCTACCGATCGGTCGGCAAGGGCACACTCTTATCTTTCTTCCCATAAAGTCAAGCTCGTGTACAAGGGAAAAAGACTTTCAAAATAACCGCTTACGGTTGGAAGAACTCAAAGGACGATGAAATAATCTCCGGTAAGGAAAGCTTAACTAAAGAATCTCACTTCGGTCATCAAAGAGCTTAGCAAGCATTCAAAACCAACAATGCTATCTCCAATAGGTAGAGATTGACTTTCTTATAGTGAGTTAACAATCTTTCATCTTTCCTTACTAAGACTAAGGAGTGTAAGAGCCAAACGAGTTAAGGGGCGGCGGTCATCGTAATCCCTCCCTGTGATCAATCCGGTTAGCAATCCTATCTTTGCCTGTATGAGATCAAGTGATCCAGTTTAGTAGAATAGGTGGCACAGAAGAATTAGGTGAATTGTGCACATTCATTAATAGTCTAAAGAGGATGGCATTTCTTTTTCAAGTGACCATAGTGAAAATTTCCCCCCTCAACTACTAAGTGTAGAGTTTTGTTTGAATCTCAGCCTCTCTGAAACTCCGACTAGCATAGTAAATCGATCTATTCAATAGCATATACATATAGTACGTTTAGAATGACAAGGGCTAGGGCGTTTCGCAATGAGGATTGGATTTATATGAATTTGGGTAGTCCCCACACCTGAACAACAAGGAAAAAGTCGCATTTTGGCCATTTACGTTAGCCTTGCGGGCCTTGGCGTAGGAGCGTACTTGAGTGAGTTTTTGATAGCAAGTATAGTTCAATAATTACTTCGCCTTATCTTTCTCCCGATTCAGATTACGGAAAGGAATAAAGCACTCACTAGAACGGAAAAGCAGAAGCGCCTGAACCTCTCGGTGAAGAAGAAGACTTGATCGTTATATAAGAATGAACTCGAATTCTTTCTCGGGAGTGGAAAGACTATTTGTTTCATATGCCAAGATAAGATCATGAAATGAACAAAACCTACTTACTTGTCAGTACGCCAACTGACTGTTCACAAACAGACTTCAATCACTCCCGAACTCCACGATAAGTGCCTATCATCTCTATGCGAGTGCTTTACGGGAAGGCGGGGCAGGTCCGGCCCGCGGTGATAGAACGAAGGT